CTGATCTTAGGTGTCTAATATCAGACGTCTGTTTTCAGGTGTCTGATTTCAGGTGTGTGATTTCAGACGTCTTTTGTTAGATAGCTGATTTCAGGTGTTTGATATCAGACATGTGATATTAGACGTCTGAGGTCAGACGTCTGATTTCAGGTTTCCGATATCAGACGTCTGATTTCAGGTGTCTGATTTCAGACCTCTGATGTCAGGTGTTTGATATCAGGTGTCTGATGTCAGGTATCTGATTTCAGGTGTGTGATATTAGACGTCTGAAGTCAGGTATCTAATTTGAGACATCTGATTTCAGGTATCTGATATCAGACGTGTTATGTTAGATGTCTGTTATCAGACATCTTATTTTAGGTGTCTGATTTCAGATTTGTGTTGTCAGTTGTCTGATTTCAGGTGTGTGATATCAGAGGTCTGATGTCAGGTGTTTGATATCAGGCGTCTGATGTCAGGTATCTGATGTCAGTCGTCCAATATCAGGTGTCTGATATCAGACGTCTTGTCATGTGTTTGGTATCAGATATCTGATGTCAGGTGTCTGATATCAGATGTGTGATGTTAGATGTCTGATATCAGACATCTTATTTTAGGTGTCTGATTTCAGATGTGTGTTGTCGGTTGTATGATTTCAGGTGTGTGATATCAGAGGTCTGATGTCGGGTGTTTGATATCAGGCGTCTGATTTCAGGCATCTAATGTCAGTCGTCTGATATCAGGTGTCTGATATCAGACATCTTGTCATGTTTTTGGTATCATATGTCTGATGTCAGGTGTCTGATATCAGACGTCTGGTGTCAGGTCTCTGATATCAGAGGTCTGATGTCAAGTGTCTGATATCAGATATCTGATGTCAGGTGTCTGATATCAGACGTGTGATGTTAGATGTCTGATGTCAGACGTCTGATTTCAGGTGTCTGATATCAGGCGTCTGATTTTAGATCTATTACAGATTCACTCCACTACATTACATGAATTTAAAAAAGCTAACACTACTATAACAATAAAAAAAGTTGTGGAGGAGACAACCAAAAGCGCCAATACGCCATACTGCTACCACACCATTCAGGTGTCTTATTTCAGACATCTGTTGTCAGGCGTCTGATCTCAGGTTTCTGATATCAGACGTCTTATGTCATGTGTTTGGTGTCAGACGTCTGATGGCAGACATCTAATGACAGGTATCTGATATGCGACGTCTGATGCCAGGTGTCTGATGTCAAGTGTGGCAGACGTCTAATGTCAGGTATCTGATATGCGACGTCTGATGTAAGGTGTTTGATGTCAAGTGTCTGATTTCAGGCATCTGATCACAGGTGTCTGATATTAGACGTCTGATGTCAAGTGTCTGATAGTAGACCTGTGATGTCAGATGTCTGATATCAGACGTCTTATGTCAGTTGCCTGATATCAGTTGTCTAATAATAGGTGTTGGATATCAGACGTCTGATGTCAGATGTCTGATCTCAGCTGTCTGATATCAGACGTCTGATGTCAGGTGTTTGATATCAGATGTGTGATGTCAGATGTCTGATAGCAGATGTCTGATGTCAGACGTCTTGTTTTAGGTGTCTGATATGAGACATCTTATTTCAGGTGTCTGATATCAGACGTCTGATATCAGGTTTCTGATATCAGATGTCTATTGTCAGGTGTCTGATTTCAGATGTCTGGTGTCAGACTTCTGATGTCAGGTGCCTGATATCAGATGTCTGATTTTAGATGTCTTATTCCAAATGTCTGATTTTAGATTTGTGTTGTTAGACGTCTATTGTGAGGTTTCTGATGTCAGACGTCTGATCCCACAGGTCTTATTTCAGATGTCTGATGTCTGACATCTCAGGTCAGATATCTGTCAGACGTCTGATGTTAGAGGTCTGATGTAAGATGTGTGTTGTGGGACGTTTGATGTGCGATGTGTTATGTCTGATATATGATTTGTGATGTTTGGTGTTAATTGTCTGAAATCAGACGTCTGGTGTCTGTTGTTTAATGTCTGACGTCAGACATCTGATGTAAGTTGTCCAATATCTATACGATTTATTATGTCTTTTGTCTCATGTCAGACGTCTGAGCTCAGAGGTCAGACGTGTGACGTCTCACGTTTGATTTCAGACTTCTGATGTCAGACGTCTGATGTTAGACGTCTGATATCAGATGCCTGTTGTCAGACGTTTGATTTGAGACGTGGGATGTCAGACGTCTGATGTCTGACATCTGAGGTCTGACGTCTGATGTCACACGTCTGATTTAAGACGTCTCATGTCAGATGTGGGATGTCAGACGCCTGATGTCTTATGTCTGATGTCTAGTGTCTCACCGCTGATGTCTTATGTCTGATTTCTTATGTCTTATGACTTATGGCTGTTGTCTGATGTCCTGTGTTTGATGTCTCATGTCTGATGTCTTATGTCTGATTTCTTATGTCTTCTGACTTATGACTGATGTCCTGTGTTTGATGTCTCATGTCTGATGTCTGATGTCGTATGTCTAATGTCTTATGTCTGATTTCTTATGTCTCATGACTTATGGCTGATGTCTGATGTCCTGTGTTTGATGTCTTATGTCTGAGTTCTTATGTCTTATGACTTATGACTGATGTCTGATGTCCTGTGTCTGATGTCTTATGTCTGATTTCTTATGTCTTATGACTTATGACTCATGTCTGACGTCCTGTGTTTGATGTCTCATGTCTTATGTCCCATGTCTTATGTCTGATTTCTTATGTCATGACTTATGGCTGATGTCTGATGTCCTGTGTCTGATGTCTTATGTCTGATTTCTTATGTCTTATGACTTATGGCTCATGTCTGATGTCCTGTGTTTGATGTCTCATGTCTTATGTCTGATTTCTTATGTCATGACTTATGGCTGATGTCTGATGTCCTGTGTCTGATGTCTTATGTCTGATTTCTAATGTCTTATGACTTATGGCTGATGTCTGATGTCCTGTGTCTGATGTCTTATGTCTGATGTCTTTTGTCTTAAGGCTAATGTCTTATGTCTGATTTCTAATGTCTTATGACTTATGGCTAATGTCTGATGTCCTGTGTTTGATGTCTCGTGTCTTATGTCTGATGTCGTATGTCTGATGTCTGATGTCTTATCTCTTATGTCTTATGACTGTGATTGCAGGTGAGCACACAGCAAGGTGAAATGGACAGTAAGTTTGTAGCAATGAAAAGAACTATTGCCCTTCTGGAAAAGTATAATCAGAAACTTCCGGAATTGACTCAGAAGTTCTACACTGCAGCTCCACAAAGGTGTGTAGTTACTTAGTATGTGAAATCAAATGGTGACGAGTGAAATTAGGGAATAATTTCTCGCGCAGTTCGTCGAAAAGACTCGGGAAATTGTTAGGATTCGGTTAAAATGCAAGTGAAATTATTCCCTAATTTCACGAGTATACCATTTGATTACCTACAAATATCATGGGTGACGAATTACGTTAGCTTTCTAGGATTTTTGGCATGTTTATCCTGGAGCGTATCGATCGGGAACTCCACTCTCTCAAACGTTTAGAGCTTTAATTTGTCTTCGTCACCTATGATATTAACTTTCTAACTCTTTGTCCCAGTAGTTCATTACATCATAGTTCAACAAAAACCCCAAATCCCATGGAATTATGAAATGCAAAAACTAAGACACATCATGTACTTTCGTGCAACGTTCCGCCAACGAGGTCTTTTGAGGACTTCGTCCTTGTACTTAAAAGTTCAGTCTATCGTGTGTCTGCATAAGGGACGACGCATTACCTTGGGGGAGGGGTTGGAATGTTTCTTCAAGCGTGCAAATGTAATATATTTTTTCTACAATACTACGCCATTTAGTATCCTTTGCATTGTAACGGCGTGCCCTTCCATAATATTTATTTAAATGTTCTCAAAACATAGCCAAGAAAAGTCTTTAAGGTGTCAGAAGCCTTAAATAGGCTTCTGAAGATGGCTGACAGTCATCGAAACTGTCAGCATCATTAAGACTTTTCTTGGCTATGTTTTGAGAACATTTAAATAAAATTAACTTTACTAGCCTGATGAATTTCTTCAAGAAGATGTAATGTCTTAATTTCTACTATTTGATTGTACGACAAGGCTGTAAAAGTTGCTGTTATTGTTGTTTTTTCATCAGGTGGAACAATTTGAAAATGAAAGTAAATCAAGCTAAACAACGACTTGGGCCCAGAATACAGGCTGAAGCCTCTAGTGTTACTGAGGTAAATTTTTACAGGATGAGTTCAGGAGAGTTCGCCAGGCAGCACCTTGTTCTGTAATTTGTGCCTGTAATTTAATATTAGAGGTCCATTTCTGGTTAACTTCATTGACTTCCGATTTACTCACAAACGTGTTAGCCTATCGTTTTAGCATTAAATTTGACCAACATTTTGTGGAGCGATTTCTACGGTCACGATTGCCTTCAAACTTGCAGACATAAAACTAGAGAACTCTGAGGCTTATTTGCTGAAGTTAGGGAAAAATCTGTCGTGGGATTTCGAAGTTATTTTCGGTTTTCGTAAAAATGAGGCTTTATATGCCGATATCTTAAAAGTTTTTAAACCTATAAGAAAATAAATAACACTTTCTTAAAGTTCCATCATTATTTATTAAGGGTGCAAAAAATCGTAGAAATCGGTTGAATCTTTCAATCTGAAAAACGCGAATCAAAAACATAACCAAAACGCATATAAATAGGAACGGGCCACCTTAATAGTACCGAATAAGAACAATTTAAAGACTTGTCGTTTTCCAAAATAACCATGGGTAGTTTATCATTTGATTTTATTGTTTAATTGTAGTATTTTTTTACTGTGTTCTTGTAAAGTGCCACGAATAACTTGTGGATGTATTCACTTTATACACGTTTTATTATTGTTATTATCATTGCAAAACTAAGACGATTGCCTTCCTCCTTTCTACTCACGCAACAAAAATAATAGTATGGATTGTTTATCTCGTTTTGTAGGAACTCAAGGCCTTTGGTGATCGCTGCGAGTCTCTAGCTCGAGAATTTGCTGATTCAGAGGCGTTCAATAGAAAGTGTGCTATTTACTCTGCGTTCACGATAATGGATACATTTAGCAGACGACTTGAAAGCATGGAGAGTGAGGCACAGGTAAGACTAAAGGTCTTTTGGTCTCTTCAGGAGTCTGTCAGAAGTAGAAAACTAAATGGATCTATTAACACAGTCGTGCGAAGACATAAACTTCGGATTAAACCACGAGAACAGAAAGCAATTATTTGGTTTGTTTGTTGGGGTAGTAAAGTGATATGTCTGACTGTAAAGTCCATTTTCTATTTCGCTTCTTTACTTAGCTTTCTCCATTTTACACTAAATGATTATCTATCCTGTATAATTGGAACTAGCATTATCAATTCTGGTTACATTATTGTCTGTTGTCAGGAATAGTTCTGAGTCGCTATTGGTTGTTGTTTTAAACGTAGTTAATGCAGCTGGGTTGTTCTCTCCCGTAGAATGCGCCGATTCAGTTTTATTTTTGGATGAAAGACAAATAATAATAAATAGGACGCAATAAAACGGAGACTGCTCAATTTAGGTTATACAAGCTTCTTTGATTGAGGCAAAAGCTCCGAATTTAAATCCGAATTTTGTTACCTCATTTCATTTTACAGGACCTGATTGAGCTTCAAGAACTGTTTGAAAAGGCTGTTGTGAACTTCTCTGTACTCCCTCGGTATGTGGAATGTAAATTTTTTGCCCTTTCACTGCCCAATTTAGCCAAAAGCAAATTTCGACCAAATTTCCAAATTTCATGTTGTGAAATTTTGAACAAAATAGCACCATTTGCAAGTACAGGCAGAGAGCTTTCATTTGAATGGTCACATCATAGGATTTCGTCCACAGACTCAAAAGTTAGAGTCACCTTACAAAACTCCATCAAACACTCTGGCAGTGAAAGGGTTAAGAACTGATCGTAGCTTTTCAAAATAAACAACGTGTTTATTGTTCCTGCAAAACGGGCAGGGTGTTGAATGTGTTATAACGAAAAAAAGTTGATGCCTTCAGTGTTTGTCCTCGTGATGAAATGAAGTTCGTTGCAATCACAGTCATTTCTGTCAGTAGAGGCTAAATGATAGGCAGTTTCGCCTGTGTGGATATCGGTAAATTACCGGTTTTTGTCATCCGTAAATACCGGTTGCCTGGCTCTTACCTCGAGGAAACTTTTAGCCTACTAACGGGGTGCATGAACCTATAATGACATTTCCGCATTTATGCAAACTTGGCTCCTCTTTATTGTGAACAAATGAAAACACGTTCCCTCACCCGTACCTGCTAGCGGAAACGTTATGTTAATTTTTCAACAGCCTTCGTTCAGACCTGGAATGTTTACGTGAGGTTTGGAACACGTGGCGTGCAGTCCAGGAACAACATACTGAATGGAAACGTGGGCGGTGGCAGCGAATCAACACCAAGCTTATGAAAAAGGCTACTGAAGCCCAGATTGACGTGGTTACAGCTCTTCCCTTTGAATGTCACGAGTGGGACGTGTTTGTAGGGATGCACCACGCTATACTGGACATTCAGGTGAGTTTTGTTAATCGGGAGGTGGTTCCTATCAGTGTAGAAATAAGCGTAGTTTCTTGGTCAGTTGCGGACGGGTGAAATCAGCGAACGATGTAATACAAACGACTGGACAGGCACGGAACAACACAAACCAAACTAACAATAGCTACCACAGCACCAAGATACACCCGATAGAGGGCAACCCAAACCTACATCTTCGGCGACAAAATTAGTTCACACACTTCGCCCTAAAGAGTCTTTCTGACGTTTTACTGACTTCAAAAGGGGAACATAAAGCTTTTCCTCGCCCACCCTCTCCATGCAATGTTGTGCCGCTCTTCGAGGTACCTATAGAAAACAACAAACAACTCAGCATTGAAGGGAGGTGAGGGGGGAGGGGTGTGGATTCTTTTGTTCTCTGAAGTTACACTATTTGAGTACAATTTTGTTGCCAAATGTAGATTGTCATAATGACATAGTGGAGTGTCTTTATCAGACCAGTATATAGAAAAGGCCACTGAGTGAGGCGTTTTCAAAATAAATGTTACTTAAGATAAAATGTTGCAGAAAGGAGTACGCACAACACGTCAATTAGAGTTTACGATTTATCCTGGTAGTTATTTGGCCGTTTTCTAATAGTTTGGAATATAGTGTTTTTTGGTTCCTTTGAGGTTTGCTCATTAGTTGAACCTCTTCACAGCGGCCACCTTGAAGACAAACTTAAGTGGCCCCTGTAGACAGGTTCAAAACTATAGTGAATGTATTTATTTTATTCATTTATCTTGTATAGGCGTGTCTACCTATAATTGACGATTTAAGCCGCTCTGCTATGCGACCTCGCCACTGGAAGCAACTGCTGCGAGTGACTGGGGGAGCAATACAAATTAGCAATGAGGGGTTAACCAGAATGACTTTAGGACAACTGTTAGATCTTGGATTACACAGTAAGTACTCTTGTAATGAATATATTATTGTTTTTGCACAGTGCAAGACTTAATTTTTCAAACACTTCGAAAACTGTCTTATCTAGACACTGAGAAGTGGGTCGCCATAACGAGGTGCAGCCAATTTTTTGAGACCTACTTCATCTGTTTTGTGTTTATCTGGTCAAAAATTGAAATGTTTTTTAGGGGGTGGGGGATATAGCCTGTAATATGATTAATGATTGTTGTTATGGGTTCTTTGTGCTGTTTTGCTATTCGTAATCCACATGTGAGCTTTGTATTCTTGAGTTGTTAAAGGTGACTTTTCCAACCAAACATTTTTTAAGATATGTGCTTTTTGAATGTCTTTTCTGCTAATCGATTAATAAACTCAGCTCAAAACGCATGAATATAGTCTCAAAATTCTATGATGTAATCATAGAAACCTCTAACGGTGCTTGTGAATAGTTCCTTTATTTGTAGCAGTAATGTTATGAAAACTGAATTTCTTTGATAGTGAAAGTATTAGCTGATTGGCTTACTGACTTATGTCCCTCTTAACAGACCATGCAGAAGAGGTACGGGCCATAATTCAAAGGGCCGCAAAGGACGTGGCCATTGAGAGCTCACTCAAGACCTACGAGGAAGTCTGGCTCAGCAAGATCTTTGAACTAAGGGCGCATACTCGAATGAAGGGCCCTTCATCAGCGGCTGCAGCTACTCAAGATGTAAATATTGCGTTTGAATGCTTCTTAGGAGTTATAACTTAATTCTCTTACTGACGCAGTACGTTTCTTCATTCTTGTTGTAAAAATTGGTCTGTAGATAATCGGAAACCTTTACTGTGGAAAAGAGTTGGGGTATCTTTCGGGGCTGCTTTCCCCCCCCCCCCCCCCCCCCCTTTAATGTTGTTGTGGCTATTGTATTGCTGAATTAGTGAACAAAATGGCTATTTTAGAAGTCAAAATTATGGCATTTGCACTTTCGTCCTTTATAATACACATCTGGCTCCAGTGGCCATACTTACGAAGTGAATTATAGTGGGAATATTAGCAGGACTGCTCTGCAACTGCTACCACGACCTCCACCACTACTTGAAACATTACCACGACGACGATGACGATTCTTTCCATGATGGCCACTTTAGCCATGGGGACCATAACAGCCAAAGTGGTGGTAGTGACCACAATGGCCACATTGGCCACAGTGACAACAATGGCCAGAATGACCAACGTGATCATGATGGCTACAACAACAACAGCAGCCTTGATGACAGTGGTGGGCACAGCTGTTCAGATGACCACAGTGACAAGAGTGACCACAGTGTTGACAATGATCATGATGGCCATGGTGATCACAGTGGCCGCAATGACCAGTGTCCATGATGGTGACTCTGGCCACAGAGTCCACTAAAACTACAGTGACAGTGGTGGCCACAGTGAGCACACCGGCAGCAATGATTACGTGTATTTTATTTGGAAAAGATAATAAACAGTTTTCAGGGTTAAATTAACTTTTTTCTGGCGATAACAAAGTACAAAACTCTAACCAACAAGGGCTCACTGTAGTTACACCTATAAACACTCTGCTTTTTCATCTTTCTGTAGACACCTGGTAGTGAGTTTGGAAATGACTCGGAGATGAACATGCATGGACCCCGTGGCTTATCCAGTCGAGTATCGGTGACTAGTCACGGCAGTGGAGGTGGCTACAGCATCAAGGATGGGGCTGGTGGTGGCCTAAAAACAAGGAAAACGTCTGCGGCTGGGTCTGCTACTTTCTCGCATTCCCTTGTGAATTTGACCCAGGTAACAATCCTCACCTTTTCCTTTCCTTCTTTGACTTAATCATTTCTCTACATCTTATCACCTTGGCCCAGTTTTTCGAAAGGTGCATGACATTCTTTAGTGGATAACGCTTTTGTTTTCCCTAATACTTATTTGCTGAATAGTGATTTATTTAGTGGGTAGTGCTATCCAGCGTTTGAACAACCGGGGCCTGTAGTGTCATTCCCCTTATTTTCAAAAATCCTGTTCCTCCATGTCATCCTCATCGGTATCTTGATCACCATCGTCAAAAAAAAATTTCTTTAAGGTCAGGGAAAATTCAGAGAATTTCACTGTAAGTCAGGGAAAAGTGAAATTTTAACAGCACATATTAATTCCCTTCCCTCCACTTTTATTGTCTCTAACATTTAAAATTATTTTGAACATTTTACAGACATGAATCGTGTTGTATTGGTAGAACATTGCTCATGAAATTGAACGACAAGCCTATGCTGGGTTTTCAAGAAAATCAATCCTTTTTGCATCCTTTTTAAGAAACTATAAATTTATATATGCTGCATGTGACTTTCTGAAAGCATAAATAAATGGGTGGAGAGGATGGCTGTGAGGGAAGGGTGAAGTCCGTTATCGCGACTTATTTGTGAAATTGTTATTTCAGTTGGTCAGGGAAATTCTAAATTTGTCAGGAAAAAGTCGGGGAATTTCAGAAATCTCTGGCTGTAGCAACCATGATCATTATCGCAATCGTGGGCATCAGCAGCATCCTCGTCTCCAGAGCGTCATAATCTTGATCATCATGTTTCTTGTCGTCCTGATTCCAAGTTGTGTAGTTGTCCCTGTTCTCCCCGTCCGTTAGCGTGTCCTCACTTCGTCTTCTCTTTCCTTATTCTTCTCTTCTTACTCTTTCTGTAGGATACCGGGCCAATATGTTTGCTGGATAAATGTGAGCCAATCTTTGAAGAGCTTGAGGATCATCAGGTACTGTTCTTTTGTATATCAGTGTTAATTGTTTGTTGCTATTTTTCATTAGAACAATTCTGTTGCATACAAAGATCACTTACTTAAGTACTAGAGAGCCTTAAGCCACATTATAGTTATTAAAAGTGTATAGTGGATTTTACAAGTCGTAGCCTCGGAATTCGACCTTCGATTTCCTTCCCATGCTGAATATACCTTTCTGGAAGAAATCTCAATATGTGACTGTGTTGATTTACACCTGTTGGTAGGTGTTTCTTTTGCTTTATGGTTGACTTCATTAGCAAAATTATCGCAAAATCGATTTAACCTTGTCTGTACTACCAAAGGAGATATATCCCCTAGGAGGCGAAGGACTTTCCTAATCCCCCACCTCAAAAGAAAAACTTATCCACCTTACTTTTTAAGAGGTTATTATAAACGTTTTTTTTCGGCAGGTTTCATTACAGAGCATGCTCACTGGTAGTGCCGCTGGCTCCTTTGCTGATGACATCATGAAATGGCAAAAGAGGCTGCAGACAATTGAGTCAGTGCTGAGTGTGTGGCTTGAAGTGCAAGAGAAGTGGATAGAGTTAGAAGATGTAAGTTAAGTGTGTGAGGGGCAGTTTACCGCCAGAACAATTTTAAGTTTCAAGAGAAGTGGATAGGGTTGGAAGATGTAAGTGTAGAGTGTGAAGCGCTGGTCAAAAGTTCGCAACATTAGTTCCTACAACATCCTCTCAGAAACAAAACTAAACAAAAGCTTATTTTATCTTAGAGGGAAGTACTTGGCAGTTTCATGAAACGATTAAGTTACGCCCGTTTAAGTCATCTTAATCTAATTAGAGCCTTTTTCCAGATCGTTTAGCAATTTAGACATGTCAGTTTTTGGGTAGAGGGGAAAATGACGGCGTCCTTAGAAAAACCTCTTGGATTAGAGAAGACAACCAAAAGCAACCTCAACCCACATATGACATCAACTCTGGCGAGTGCTGTATCACTGCTCCATTCCTGCTCCCCAAAGTTTTCTCTTAAGACTTGTTGAGAGTTGTTGCTGGGATTGTTCGTCATTCGTCCTTAATTTAGAGGGCTTTGAACTCGTTTAAATTATATTACAGCGTGTTCTGAAAATGATGAGCTTTTCGAACCGTTTTCACTCGCCCTTATGTCGCGCAAATACAGTGTATTTAATTTTTGCGATGATGAACATGGTAGCTTTTCGTGCTTGCTCAAAAAAAATGTGCGTTTACCTTCTTCTTAGAACTGTCTTTAACCAGGGGCTTACGTTACGATATTGTCGATGATTTGGTTGTTTGTAATGGTCACTGTGGCTGCGTAGAGGGTTTTTAACATCCCACAGAATTTATGTACATGGGTTGCGAGATTGGGCCTACGGTGTATCGTCCTTACCTGTGAAATCATTGACAGGTCTCCTTATTTTCACTCATGCAGGTGTTTTCCAGTCTAGACCTTCGTATTGCCATGCCTCATGAAACAAACCTGTTTTCCACCGTGAATCGTGACTTCAGGATTTTGATGAAGGTTACAGAAAAGAATCCTAACGTCCTACAGGCCTGTTCAAGGATAAGTAAGTCTAATGTTAGAAACATTACAACTGATTTGATCTGTTTTTGTGTTGGGCTGTCTTGTTTATTTTAATCGCTACAGTTCGTCATATTATGGAAATTTTTTGACCTTTTAAGCCCCAATATCCACATACAAATTGGCCAGAGTGATCTCCGTACATTTCCATAAAGACTTCTTTGAGACAATTTGATAAAAAAAAGGTAGACGAGAAAATTGCAAAAATTGATGTACAGTATAATTTACACCAGGCCCATAGTCCAGTTATTCCTCTCTGTCACGCAACGTTATGCTCTTACGCTCTCGGTAACAAAATGGTGAGCTTTTCTAATGGGACGGCAGATAGGAGAGGACGGTTAAACGTTTGTGCCCGACAAACGTGACAGGGCTATTACTTGCGAGTTTTGTCGTGAAGAAAAATGTATTCAAACACGTTATTGTCATGCTTGTCACAAGCTTTGCCGTCTTCGTTCTCCGTTGTCCTTTTGCGTGAGTTTACAATGCCTTCTTTTGCTTGCCAGACATCCAAGCTAAGCTGGAAAAGCTGAACATGAACCTTCAACAGTGTTGGAAATCTCTTTTGAATCACTTGGAAAGAAGGCGTCAGAAATTTCCACGCTTCTACTTCCTCTCCACAGAAGATGTACTTCATGTTGTGTGCAATGGTATGTCACTACTCCGGAAAGTAGACACTTTGTTACCTGGTTCTGCTGAGCCTAGTTTGTTTTTTCAGTTGCCGACTTGAATGTGCTGTCATCCATGCAATCCTGGGTGTTACAAATTACGTTTACATACGTATTAAAAGTCGGTAAAAATATCACGACAGTTCTTGCATAGACTTTTTATGTCCTTTTTTAACCGTATAGTTTAATCATAGATGCGCACGGCACTTCACATCCCTGATGTTCTGTATAATCTCTCTATCGACCGTTGCAGGATTAACTCAGTCGGTAGAGCGCTTGACTACTGAGCGAGTGGTCGAGGGTTTGATTCCAGGGGCCGGACCAATACTCAGGGTCTTAAAATAACTGAGAAATGAAGGTATTCCCTTTGCTCTGCAAGCGGCTAAGCCTTCACATGGCTCGGATGACCACGTAAAATGGCGGTCCCGTCTCCAGTTGAAGACCTAAAAATAGTGTCCCCAATCAGTACTTTCATGCTAAATACCTTGACACTCAAATAAAGTGCATAATTATTATATGTCGTGGTTCCTTTGGAGGGGACATTGCTTCTGGGTCAAAATGTCTGAAAGTTCTTATTTTGTTCTTTATTTGAACTTAAACTGCGTAGTGCATCTGCCTTCTTTGCCGATTCACGACTTCTTTATTTTCCTTTTTTTAGGATATGACCCAGCTCTTGTAAATCCGTTTTTACCGAAAGTTCTTGAAAATCTTGGGGCAGTTGTCTACGATGAAATTGACAATGAAGGCCAGACATGTTTTAGCATTAATTCTGTTGTAAGCTCATACGGGGAGCAGCTTATGCTAAAGCAGGTAAAGACTTGAATTATTGTGCATTCACAAGTAACATTTATAGAAACAATACAGTTCTAAAGTAAAGTGTACATTGTATGTCACTACAGCCAGTTTCAAAGTCGCAATCTGAGAGGTTGATCGAGCAAACCTTGCCTTTTATCAAATACCACCTGGTAAATTCAGTTGGTAGAACGCTGGACTAGGGAGTGGATGATCGCTGGCTCAAACCTGATGCAGACCACCAACTGAGGCCTACAATTAGTGGTAAAATCATGCTCGCTGCGATCAAGTCCTTGTGTGCATTCAGGTGAATGCGTCATTGGGTTGTGACATTAATCCATTCACCTCGTTTTCTTCCAAATTTCTTATCAATTCGAAGAGTGCACACTCCTGTTTGAAAGCGTAGTACGTAGACTCTGGTGATAAGGTTACCTGTCCTGTATTGCAGTTTGAAGTGGTGAACTTTCCATACCTGGCAAAGCTATTGAATTTAAATAAATGAAGGGTTTTATTTAACATTACCATGTTATATATCGATTTTACTAGAAATCATCTTGCCCAGCTTTAATTAAAGACAATGACAGATGTAGGGGTGAAAGTTTCATGCCGATCTGAAATGGGGAAGACGGCTTAACCACTTGAAAAATGTCTCTGATTCTCTGAAAACTGGTGCGTATCAGATATACCATTCATTTGATTTGTTTTATGTTTATACTCGTAATTCACTTTACTTTTCAGCCCCTACTGTGTGAGGGTCCAATAGACAGCTGGCTTCCTTCTTTGATCAACAATTTGAAACAAACCCTCGCAGATCAGCTGGCATCAGTGCTTAACCCCACACAGCCGGAAAGAAACCCCACTCCACATGGTGAGGGCGTTGGAGAGCCCCCACGCACTGCTGGAAGCATGGGTAGAGTGGAAAAATCCTTCACTCTGGACAACTGCTCTGAAGTGATTCTGCTGGCAACGCAGATTGAACTAAGCAAAAAGATTGACAAATCAATCAAACAGGTGTTTAATTAGTTTTTTTTTTCACGTTGTGCATGTCATACAAGGGATTTAGTCACTTGAAGCTTGGCTTTATAGTCAGAGCACCCGACTTCAAAATCCTGGCAGTCCCTAATCTCTTTTGCTCCACTAGCCTTTGCACTATGATAAGTGCCTCGGCTACAGTCAACTTTCTCTTAACGGACACCTTTATTGGCCATTTTGAGATTGTGTGAGAGGGAGTCGCTGTTATTTCGAATTGTACTATGGGGCCGTTTTGGGAATTTTGACCCCTTTTCCCGGGTAACGTTATAACAGCCAATTAAAGAAGTGATGACGTCCCCAAAATAGTCCCAAATGCAATTCGACACTTCAACGCCGTAGTCTCTCTTTCAACCTCTTAATGGCCGAAACTTTGAGACTTACACACCCAAAATTGCTTGTGACCGTCTTTTATTCATTTCTTTGACTCTCCATAAGGCGGGCGCTCAGGGCGGAAAGTTAGTGCTGCTCTCACGGGTGTCCATCTTAACGGGAATTGTCTCTAGAGCGTTTTGCGTTGATTTATTTGTACTCATTTGCTCTGTTTGTTTGTATTTTTCTCAGGTGGCAAGTGGCGAGAACAAAGAAGCACTGACAGAAGTGTATGACAAGTTGACTACCATACTGGAAGCCACAGCAATGATGCTGAAGGGAGCAGACAAGGAAAGTAAGCCTCAAGGTGTTGATGATGGTTATGACAGTGGCGTCAACAGTGATAATGATACGGAGGTGGATGCAGCCGTGAGGGGACCAAGTCAGAATACAAGTACAAGTCAGGAGCGGCCTGGGACGGGTGCAGTAGGAGATGTGGATGCAGTCTCGAACATCTCCGGGGTATCCCAGAGGCAGAAGAAGGAGCAGCCTGAGGAGGACGCCACTAAAGAAAATGCTCATAACAAAATGTTGTTATTCCCTAGCCAGATTCAAAAGATAAGCAATATAATTGCCATGCTGGCTCACAAAAGGAGTTTAGTACAAAGGTTGATTGAGCATTCGCATGAATGGGAAGCCCTGAAGAATCCCACTGACAGCTTTGATTGGCAGTGTCATGTGCGTTACCGCTGGGAGGAAGAACAGCAGGCCTTGAAAGTTGACATTTTGGATGCAGAGTTTAATTATGGGTTTGAGTATCAGGGTAGCAGTTCCAGATTGGTTCTGAGTCCGTTGACGGATAAGTGCTTTGTGGGCCTTACACAAGCTGTCAAGAATAAAATGGTTGGAGTTTGTAGTGGAGACTTTGTAAGTATGACGTAGTGTTAGCCATTTACGACCAATTTTGTTAGTATTTGAAAAGATGCAAGAAACCTTTTAGTCCCGTAGAAAAAAAAATGCCTCAACACATTTAACATGAACTGATCTGCCTACAGGCCCCCAAATAAGAGCCACTCTGTAAAGCACATTAAAACCTTCACCGTCAAGTAGCTTTAACATAAAGGATTCCGCCATTAAGCAGTCCACTGCGTATTTCGCGTCTTATTTGTCCTAGTAAGTCTCTCCGTTATGAGGAAAAGCTGTATAGTACTCCGAAATAAATTACTCTTCCTCTTAGGGAAATGGAAGAGCAGAAACAGTGAGTGAACTGGCTAGACTCCTTGGTAATCCGCTGTATTCATTCAACTGTACCACATCAATGAACAGATACACTTTAATAGACATCTTCAGAGGGCTTGCTAGTTCAGGTAGGTTTAAAAACCGCAGTGTACGATTGACATTTGAATGGCGCATATTTTAGTTTACTAGGATTCTGTACAAAAATGCTCATATAAGACTTTAAAAAAGCATACATTTACTCTTAAACGTAGACTGAATTAGCGGGGGGGGGGGGGGGACACATAACAGGAAATACCCTAAAAGAATGTGCCGGGGGGTTTTTCCTAAAAAAAAAACTCTTTTGTTTTTTTTTACAAAAATTTTGGGGAAATTTTTTCCCCCACTATTTTGATGTTTAATTTTTTTCTTTTTTTTTTTTTTATATAAAATATTATTTTTGTGTGGGTTGTTATTTAAAAAAGTTCCNGTCCCGAGTTTTCACGTATTGTCGTCGAATAAACGCCGAACATATTTTCCAATCATTGAGGGGAACGTTTATTGGTAATTTTTGCTTGCAACTGCTTTGGTTAATCGAAAGTAACGTTCATTCGAGGGCAGCGTTTAATCGAGGAGATACAGTAAACAGGTTTCGTTTGCAGGGACAAAATGTTGTGACGGCACCCTGAAATCTCGTGCATTTAACATGGCCAGTTAGGGACAGTGATAATAATTCTCCGTTTTCTTACACTGAGACAGTGATTTTTCCATGTACATGTCCATGCTGTAAATGAATTTGTCACTGATACACGTCTTTCTGATGTGTTTAGCTACAGAACCTCTCGTGGTAAATGGTTGTGTTTGATCAGGGTTCATTCTATTTCTGCATCGTTTTTTAGGTGCATGGGTGTGTCTCAGCAACATCTTGGCTATTCAGCCTCCTGTTCTATCCGTACTAACCCAACTAGTCACAGACGTCCTGGATGGCTTACGAAGTAACAAGACCACTGTAATTCTTCCCGACGATGAAATAACGTTATCCCCCCAGGGCGCATGCTTCGCAACACTGAACAGTTTACCTAACCAGATCAACTCGAAGTATGACCCTTCCGTTGGCTTCTTTCCTTCTTTCAAGTCGTCTGCCTCCTTCCTTCCTGCGGAGCTCTTAGCCATGTTCCGTCCCGTTGAACTTGTAGGCCCTGACTTGCAGGCCATTCTTCAGGTGTGGCTGTTGAGCCAGGGCTTCACTCAGGTTGCGTCTCTAGCGTCCAAGATTGTGACCCTCAAGGGCCTGTGTCAGCAGCTACTTCCAAGCTCCTCTAAGCCTCTTTGCGCAGAGCTGTGTTCGTATCTTCAGAAATGCATCGGCTGGGGTTCTTATTCTCTTAAAAGGATGATTGACGACGCAGGTTCACATTTATGCACGAACTCAAACAATGAAATGGAACAAGTGACATCTATTAAGGGAGAAAACTTGGATGGAGAAAGAGAGTCTCCTACAGATGTGGTAGCTGCTGTGAACGCACCGCTTGAAGCTCTCAGCGAAGATGGTAAGCAGAAATAGGTATCAATTATTCTTAGTTTAACAGCTGTGGTTTCCCTGTTTGTTGGCTTGACATTGGCAGATACACGATAAAATGGAGTCTCTGTGTCCTTTTGTGAACAGGAGAGAAAACATAAACTTGTCACGCAGTGTGCAGCCCCTTGACTGTTAGAACATTTATACCTAGTATGTAAGTGCTTTGCAAATAATAGAGAACACTTTCTTTTTGTCTTGTTTTGTTCTTATTCTCTGGAGCCTCCGTATTCTCTGCTGAATACGGACTATTCTCCTTAACATTCTCGAAACTGTGCACAAAGTTGAACAAAAACTGAAAACAAGTTTTTCTGCAACAGTCGTTTATCTTTGCTTTGTTAGATCTCAGCTAATGACCAATCATTGCTCGCTTAGTATGCGGTGCATTGCATGAACTCTGGGGAATCAAGGGTAACGATCAATTTTAATGTTCGTAGTACATTAGAGAACTACAAGACATTGCGCAACATTGTGATACATGACATGTCATTTCATTGTCTTACATTACATTAGAGGCTTGATTTTGGATGCACTCGTGTCTGATCTCTGTTCCTCCCAAACTGTACATGACGGTCCTGCTATTTTGTGTTTTTCTTTTCTCGTTTTTGTAATCAAATATATTTTGTTTATTTAGAACCTGCTGTTCCTGCGGGCACTGAAGAGGACACTGGTCAACAAGACGAACAGGAAATCCTTAAGGTTGAAGAGCACGCTGTAGTGCTGGCTTTAAGAGACACGTACATGCCGGGATTGGACAGTAGTGATGCTGTTATGTTTGCTACACTTTTAGCCGATCTCTTTCCCAATGTACAGGTCCCCATGATCTTTGACACGTTTGGAGCTGAGGGCAGCAAGATGAGAATGAACGAACAAGTGAGCAATCTGGAGGAGATCCCGGTGCTACCAAAGTCTCCTGGCGATTGTGAAAGAGACAATCTGGAAGGTAAAAAACACGTTGATAAGACTATCATTTATGGAAATACCAATTTTAATATAAATCTGCCACTTTATTACCAGTTTTCACATGACGTCACGTCCGCCATATTGGTAGCTCAAAATGATAAAAAGGCAGCTGTATCCGTATCAAAATCAATCATGCGGAACATGAACTCTTATTTAACAAAAACACTTTCTTTCCTTCAAATTACTTTGCGTAGCTGCTAGCCAGGTGGCAGAAAACGCTTTATTCGTGGAAGAGCAGTTATTACTGAGAGTGGTTCAATAGACAGAGAACAACTGGAGGCCAATACATGTAGACGGCTTAATTGCAGTTGCAGTTTTTGGTCAGTTCTCTGCTGACGTCATTACTTAGTACCTTTAGCCAGACACAAAATGCTGCTGTAGAGATATGAAGTAGACATCAAACAAATTCCATCAGGGAACACTAACCATAATAATTTTGTGGTGATTTTTGCAGGCATAGAAAGTGGCCCAATTGTTTCAAGTTTCAATCCAAGTTCATCCTTGCCATCTTTTGCAACAGACGACAGGAACCACTTTCAATGCCTAAATATTGTCTTGAATAGCAAAACTGGGCCATTATTTTTTTGAAATTCAATTGATGCAAAAAAATGTTTTAAAAAGAAAGTAAATAGCGTGGCAAATGTTCTTTTACACCCCATTTAACTGAAGAGAACACGAAGCAAAACAGGTTTGTCACGCTTATAGGCTGGTTTCACAAGCGACGGAGTTGGAGTCAGGATCTTCAGCTGAGTCATAAGAGCGCTTATGACTTAGTTAAAATCAAATATCAGGGTCGTAAGAAGAGTAATAAGCAGGACGGAATCAGTCAGAAGAATCAGAACGTTTCCATTTTCTTCCGACTCCCCTTACGACTCCAGCACTTACGATCTAGTGAAAACCAGATTGTCAGAGTTAGAAGGGGAAGTGGAGGGATAAACCACAATGCTCGTTCCTATGCTTGGTAATAGGTTTAGTTCTTTTGTCTCAGCATGCGACTCCAACAACCTAGTTTTCACTTGATCGTAATTAATGATTACAAATATGACTCCGTCGCTAGTGAAAACCACACAAACATAGCAGTAGGCTTTCACTAATTATTCTTTGTTGTTAAACTAACTATCCTTTGTTGTTAAAGTCTTGGATGATATGCAGTCGGCCATTAAAGTAGCTACGTGCAAACTTGGTTTACAGCCTGGTGCTGCGTTTCAAGCCAGAATCGCTCAACTAGTGGAGCTTGTCAAGGCACATAAACTGGTGAGGTTTAAGCTAATGTTGTCTGTTGGAACATTAATGTAGGTTCTAATCCCAGGGAGGGCTACTCATCAAACTTCTATACCTGCAGGTCCCACCCCTTACCTTTTTAAAGACTATTTTTAACAGAAAGGTTACACCTTTTGTATACCTTAAATTGCAAAATGGTTCCTGTTTTGCATACCTAGTTAACACGTAAATGCACCGTCTTTTAGTTTTTTTAACTGTAAATAATCCACTACTAAATCTGTAATAACCTGCACCAAAGTGGATCAAACTGCACCAACTTGCACCAAAATGCACCAAACAGCACCAAGTTGAACCAACTTGGACCAAACTGCACCAAGCTGCACCAACTTTCTTCCAAACTGCACCAAGTTGCACCAAAGTGTACGATGTGCACCAAGCTACACCAAGTTGAACCAAAGTGCACCAAACTGCACTAACTTGCACCAAACCGCGCCAACTTAGACCAAACTACACCAAGGTTGACCATAGAGCAGCAAACTGCACCAACCTGCACCACAAACCATCAACTTGTTCGATCTTGCACTAAAGTCCACCAACCTACACTTAAATGCACAAAACTGCACCAACTTGCACCAAACTGCACCAACTTCCACTAAAGTGCACCAACTTGCACTAAACTGCACCAACTTCCGCCAAAGTGCACCAACTTGCACTAAACTGCACCAAGTTGCACCAACCTCCACCAAACTGCACCATCTTGCACCAAAGTGTACCAACGTCCACCAAGTTGCACCATCTTGCACCAAAAAGCACCAACTTACACCAAACTGCACCAATTTGCATTAAACTGCACCAAAGTGTACAAACGTACACCAAACTGCACCAACTTGCACCATAGTGCACAAACTTCCACCAAGTTGGACCGGAGTGCACCAACTTACACCATAGTGAATCAACCTGCACCAAACTGCACTAACTTGTACCAAGTTCCACCATCTTGCACTAACTTCCACCAAGTTGCACCAAATTCCACCAAACTGCAACAACTTGTACAAAGATGCACCAACTTGCACCACACTGCACCAACTTGTACCAAGTTGCACCAAACTGCACCAAGTTAAACCAACTTGCACCAAACTGCACCAACTTGTACCAAGTTGCACCATCTTGCACCAAAGTGCACAAAGTTGCACCAAGTTGCACTATCTCGCCCCAAAGTGCACCAAGTTACACCAAAGTGCACCATCTTGCACCAAAAAGCACCAAGTTGCACCAAACTGCACCAAATTGCACCCAACTGCACCAAGTTGTACCATCTTGCACCAAAGTGCACCACCTTGCACAAAAATGCACCAAACTGCACCACCTTGCACCAAAACGCACCAAGTTGCACCAAACTGCACCAACTTACACCAAGTTGCACCATCTTGCAGCAAAGTGCACCAAGTTGCACCATCTTGCACCAAAGTGCACCAAACTGCACCAAGTTGCACCAAACTGCACCAAGTTTCACCAAGTTGCACCAAATTGCACCAAACTGCACCAACTTAAACCAAATTGCAGCAAAGTGCACCAAGTTTCACCAAACTACACCAAGTTGCACCAACGTGCACCATCTTGCATCAAAGTGAACCAACTGGAACGAAACTGCACCAAGTTGCACCATCTTGCACCAAAGTAAACCAAGTTGCGCCAACTTGCACCAAAGTGCTCCAACTAGCACCAAGTTGCACCATCTTGCACCAAAGCGCTCTAAGTTGCACCATCTTGCACCAAAGTGACCAAGTTGTACTAACTTGAAACAAATTACACCAACTCGCACCATCTTGCAACAAGGTGCATCAAGATGCGCCAACTTGCACCAAGTTTTACCAAATTGCACCATCTTGCATCCATCAAGTTGCACCATCTTGCACCAAAGTGCACCAAGTTGCACCAAACTGCCTTAAGTTGCACCAAATTGCACCAACTTTCACCATCTTGCACCAACTTGCACCAAACTGCACCATAGTGCACCAAAGTTCACCAACTTGCATCAAGTTGCACCATCTTAAACCAAAGTGAACCAACCTGCACCAAACTGCACCAAGTTGTACCAAATTGCACCAAAGTGCATCAAGTTGCACCATCTTGCACCAAAGTGCACCAAGTTGCACCAAACTGCCTTACGTTGCACCAAATTGCACCAACTTTCACCATCTTGCACCAACTTGCACCAAACTGCATCATAGTGCACCATAGTGCACCAACTTGGACCAAACTGCACCAAGTTGCATCGTCTTGCACTAACGTGCACCAACCTGCACCAAGTTACACCATCTTGCATCAAAGTGCATCAACTTGCACCAATCTGCACCTAATTCACCATCCTTTAACAAACTGCACCAAATTGCACCAAAGTGTACCAACTTGAACCAAACTGCACCAACGTGCACCAAGTTGCACCATCTTGCACCAAAAAGCACCAACATGCACCATAGTGCGCCAAGTTGCAACATCTTGCACCAAATTGCACCAACATGCACCACAGTGCACCAAGTTGCACCACCTTGCACCAAACTGCATCTTCTTGCATCAAAGAGCACCAGCGTGCACCATCTTGCACCAAAGTGGACCAACTTGCACCAAACTGCACCAACATGCACCAAGTTGCACTACCTTGCACCAAGCTTCACCATCTTGCTCCAAACTGAACAACCTGCACCAAACTGCACCACCTTGCACCAAACTAAACCAATTTGCTCCAACTTGCAGCAAAATACACCAATTTGCACCAACCTACTGCAAATTTCTCCAAAGTGCACCAAAATGCACCAAGTTGCAGAAAGGTACACCAAATTGCACCAAACTGCACCAGGTTGAACCAAGGTGGTCCAACCTGCGTTAGTCTGCACCAAATTGGACCAAAGTGTACTAGTGTTGACCGTAGAACACCAAACTGCTCCAAGTTGCACCAAAACTTCACCAATTTGCACCAAGCTGGACCCGCCTGCAACAACTTGGACAACTAGCTTCCACCAAAGTGCACGAAGCTGCACCAACTTAACCCATAGTGCAGCAAACCGCACCAACTTGCACCAAGTTGAACCAAAGTGCACCAACGTTGACCACAGAGCAAGAAACTGCACCAACCTGCGCCAAAACCTAGTAGCTTTCATAACGGTGCACCAAACTGCAAAAACGTGTACCAAGCTGGATCAACCTGTACCAAATAGCGTCAAATTGTGTGAAGCTGTACCAACCTTCACCAAGCTATTCCAAACTGCACCAACCTTCACCAAACTGTACCAACCTGTACGAAACTGTTCCATTCTGTACTAACCTGCACCAACCCGCACTAAACTTTACCGATCTGCACCAAACTACACGAACTACGGCATGAGACCAATTTACACCTTTACACCAAACTACTCGAAACAGCATCAACTGCACCAATATTCACCGAACTACAGTAGTTACATCAAACTGCATCAACTACACATACTACGCCTACTACAACAAATTACAACAACCAGACCAAACTACATCCACTTTACCAAACTGCACCAAACGGCACCAACTACACAAAATTGCACCAAAGTAAACCAAATGGCACCAGCCAGACAGAACGTTACCAAACTACACCAAACTACGCTAAGCTTCACCATTAACACCACATTACACCAAACCAATTACACTAGTCTATATCAACGATAATAAGTAGTTACTGGAAATGATTTTTTCTATTTATCACAGTTATCATGAGTCTTTTACCAGACGCTTTATAAATAGTGTGATAGGTTGTTTGTTAGAAATTTCCAACTGGTAAATATGAGTGTATAAAATTTGATAAATTTTGCGGTTGTGCTGTTGCCATTACAACAGTAACTTGGTTTTAAGTTCATATATGTTTCAAACCTGGTTTTAAAATCGTCCTTGGGTCTCTTTCTTCATAGATATTTCGAAAAGAGTTCACCCACAGTCTTCTGATAAGTTCTGGTGGTGGATTTTTATCCGTCGTGTTTGGGAGAGAATGTCCTCTATGTCTTGTTAAATATTTGGAACAAGATCCCTTGATATCCAAATACGCTTTTCTTTTCCTCACTAAACATCAAGTGAAATATCAACTTAGAGCAAATAAGGCCCAACCAACATTTTTTCTTGTGTTCACTGGAAGTTAATGGCATGCAGTGTCCATTCCTGCGAAATATTTAGAGGAACGATAAATTCACCAGCCTTTTTTTCTTAGGTATGTATAATTGGACCCAGTGGATGTGGTAAAACCCAGTGCGTCAGAACCCTTGGTGCAGCACACAGAGAAATGGGGCATTTAGTAAAGACTGACACAGTGGGCACTGAGGCTGTAGAATCGGATGAGCTTTTGGGATACGCGGACACTGAAACCAGGTTTGTGATTGCGTACCCGTGTGAAATATGCTCACGGTGAGATCCCAGAGTGATCAAGACTTTCACAGATATCCTGTATTGTTTCTCTCATTGGCCTCATTCCTGGGAGAATACAGCACGTTTTCCATTTACAAGGCCTTATTGCGTGAAGTTGTTCTTGATAACCAGGTGCCTCACGTTTGTCTGTCTCCACAACCGTAACACAGTGCAAGGAAAGCCATTAGAGGAAGTCAATGTTTTTAAGCACGCAGTTAGAATACATATCTTCTTTTCGTTTTCCAGGGAATGGCGTGATGGTGTATTGACTGTGTTACTACGAAGGCAGGCAAAGGAGCTACGACTTCAGGAGACAGCCAATACTAAAACTAGTGGAAAACCTCTTATGAAATGGCTCCACCTAGATGGCACGGTAATATCCTCTTTTTAAAAAAAAACATCACACTTTCTTTGAGTGTCAATGTATAATATAGCACGAAAGTACTAATTGGGGACACTATTTTTACGTCTCCCACTGGAAACGGGACCTGTTGTTTTATGTGGTCATCGGAATCACGCGAAGGTCTATCCGTTTTGCAAGGCGTATATTTTTCAGTTATTTTAAGACCTGAGTATTGGCCCAGCCCCAGGAATTAAACCCACAAACTCCCGCTCAGCATTCAAACGCTCCACTGACTGAGCTAATTTTATCTTATAGACACCGATCCCCAAATGGGCCTGTCTTGAACGTAAAAATATACACTTGAAAGAGAGAATAAAGTGATTAAAAACCTTCGTTAGAACGACCCTCACTTCTCCTCAAAGGCCAGCAAGGGCGAGAATGGGACGAAGGGTTTCCTCTCTCCCTTTTTTTCTTGCTTCAAATTTTCCACCTCTGCCTTATGCCTTAGGTCGGGCGAGTAAGTGCGAGTAAGACCTGTGGGGAGGCCATCAACAAAGATATGTTTAGTTGCAGTTGTACCACCTGTAATCAGGTCACTCCACTTAAGCCTTCGCAATGTAACTTTTTTTTCCTCCACTAGTTTTCGTCAATGGAAATGTATGAAATGACTCGTATTTTGAACGGTGGATAAAGATATGAAAGTGGAAATGACCCTCGCAGTTCAATAAACAACCTAAACGGTTGAAAAAAAAAACTGAAAAAATTCAGGCTTGACCAGAAATCGAACCCTGATTTTTGTGATGACCGGACGCGATGCTCTGTCCATTACGCTACTCAAGCAGGCCAACCGCCTAGGTTGTTTAATCATCTCGTGGATCATTTCCACTTTCACACTAGTTTTCTTGTTGGGCCTTTTCGTTCACTACATTTTCATTTGAGACTATTTCTGAAGATAATTTGGGTATGAAATAACATGAATTTTTGTCTATTTCGGCGTACGTTGTGCTTAAGTGTCCGTCAAAACAGTTAACTTCATGTCATGTTTTGCATGGTAATCCTGCCGAGACGTTAAACATTTTTTCCATGTAATGTTTCTCACTAGACAGACACACCAGCTAAAATGTGTTAACTACTACCTTAACCTGACATTGAATCTCTTTCCAGATTGATCCATTGCAAATGGAGGTGTTTGGCTCTATTGTGCAGAACAGTGGTTAGTGTCACGCATATGGTATTAATGTTACACGGAGGTGGTAGTGTAAGGGTAATAACACTGAAGTATTCGAGGGCGCTCACAGCTAAAGTTTACAAACTACAAGATCATGACTAGTGCAAGTAATCGTAAAAATCCTCTCCCTTGGTCGTACTATGTCTGTGTGTCGTTACTAAGTGTGTTCTGTTCACCATAGGCATTTGTAGCCGATCATTGTTTTACCTTGTTTTTTTAAGTAGAAATCTCTAATGCAGAGTAGTTATCAAAGTGGGCGATCGGAAAAATGTGGTGTTTGCATTTTTTAAGTGCTAATAAAAAGCTCTGACAATTCCTTCAACGTACGTTTGTTATCACAGGAACTGTGGTGCTTGCCAACAGTGAAAGGATCAAAATACCTGATGCGTTGCTTATCGTGTGGGAGGTAAGAAAGACAGCTTATCTCGTAGAAAGAAGAGTACCATTCACTTACGTAGAGGTTTTGCAATGCAAGGGCAAATATTTCATCGAAGAATGAGAATTCATTCATCATACATTATTATTTTTTTCATGAAGCCAAGACGAATGAACACTTGTTGTTGGGGCTTAAATTGGCAGCGATTGGGCGACAAGGCCATGGCTAATTAATTTTCTCTCGAAATTATTTATAATTTACAATGTAAACTAATGCTAGCTACGTAAACTACCTCAGAAATCGTAGCATCAAACGCGGGTGTATAGCCTTGAAGTTTCTGGATGCTTCACTGAGGGCGTCTACCCTAATCTTAAAAAGGTCCTCCATGTCAAAGTTTTTAATGCATCTGTCTCGAAGATTTTTGATCAGAGCCTTGACTGCTTGTTTGCTTCCTGTTTAAGCTGGAAACTTTGGAAAATCTCAGTCCAGCAGTACTCTCATCAGTGGGCATACTCTGCATGAACTCTTCTGATGTCAACTGGCCTCTCCTTGTGGACCGCTGGCTCTCCAAACGGCCAGAGCGCGAGGTAGAAGTGTTGCGAGAACTGTGTGATCGATATATTGGCCCAACATTGGAGTATCTAGCGTCCAAGAAATCGGTTCCACCCATTTCAGGAGCACCTCCAACACAGAACAAACCTTCACAGCTGCGTCACGTGGTACCAGTTACCGAGATGGGCATGGTGAACACCCTGTTAACGTTAGTCGAAGTAAGCCCCGTTTTGTCCTTTTACACATAAAGAAAGTTAGCAGTAGAGTGGAGTGGTGATTCAAGATAAACTTATGAAGTTACTCCATTTCGAAACTTAAAAAAGTGGAATACATGGTCATTAGAAATAGCACAGGGAAATATGCCTAGAGAGTGTATCGAATGCAGAATCAGTAAGCCAAGGACGTAAATGTAACGATTAACGTGACAAATTTTTTCGCTCGAACTCCAGCAACCCAACTGACTATTTCCGAAATATCTATTATGCACCCTGTTTCCAAACATTTTGCATACATTATTGTCTTCAAATACAGTGAAACCTCCATCCTCCATTAAGCGGACCCCCAATTGAGCGGACACCCTGTATTAAGCGGACACTAAGCTGGGTCCCGAAACAAACGTCTCATATTTCTCTTTATAACGAACCTCTATTCAGCGGACACTAAAATAAGTTTAATTTGGCTAATTTCTATTGTTAAAAACCTCTACTAAGCGGACATCGGACTGAATTGACAATAGTAGTATTGGATTACGCCCTTGAAGTACGTACTGAAGTCACTTAATGTTTTTGCATTTACCAATAGTTGGTAATGAAAGGTAATGAACTTGAACTCTGGATAGCTTCTTTAACAACATGCAACTTGATCGTAGTACAGCGTAACCGTTGAATGTTGATCGTTAACAAACATTGCGCAATTTTTACAACCTCTATTAAGCGGACACTTGGGAAGGTCCCGAAGGGTCCGCTTAATAGAGGTTTCACTGTGCTCTTAAGAATATGCAGTTTTCCCAGGAGCATTT